ACGCGGTAATTGTCTCTTTGAAGATGTTTTAATCGGATATATTGGGCTTAAAATTTTTTGTTTATACGAATGTAGGCTGCTCATTCTCGTTAATTCTAAAAACAGCAATAAAGAAGCAGCGTATCGTAACTTTGTGTAATCGTACTTTTCTCGTCTTGTTCTTTCGTTACGGTAGAATAAAATGCACATCGTGCGAATCTAACGCGAGAACGTCTGGAACGTCGTTTAAAGTGTAATGCAATGATCGTATTTTGATGATTAATTGGCGTGTGATCGTATCTTCGCGAGTGAATATTGTGTTAGTGCAACAAATCTGAGGAGACGAGGAGGCTTAGGAGGCATCGGGCAATGATGGAGCAGTTGTAGGTGAGTAAAATTATTATTTAAATTCTAAATTTATCTAAATTATTTATAATTACAAATATTATTTAATAAATATTTATAATTAGTTATAATTACGTAATGCACGCAAGAATTATTCTGTAAATATTAATTATTTACATATTTATATTTGTGTAAATATTAATTATTTTGGTCATTACTGTAATTTGGCTATATTTATAACTCCCCTGCTGCGCATCGTGTCAGTGAGTGACAGATGATTTTTTTTTATTTCAATTTAAGATAATGGCTCTTATATGAAATGAAAGGTAGATATCTACCTTTAATCTATCTTTCTATCTGTTTATCAAGTATATTTATCAATTTACTTAATAAAAAATTTAATTAAAAATTGTTATAATAAGCCAGTTTTATATTCTAATTCTTTATAGCCTATTTATATTTACAATTAGTTAGTGATAGCTTAACTTTGTATTTTGAAACAAAAATATTTAATAATTTAAGAGAGAATTTTAATAATTTGCATACGTAAAGTTGCGGAGTGTTTCATAAACATTTCAATAATACATTAAAGTTATCAGATTTTACGGATTTTTTCACAATTGAATACTCTCAGTTGATCTTCAATTAAAATATGACCGTCTATCAAGATACAAATTTTATTCTTCGTATTGATACATTTTGTCGATACGATCGATACATGTAATGGCTATAAGTACAAATCTAAGAGTTGTACTTTCTTGTTATTTTTAATAGTCAAATTTTTAGATTCCGATGATAAATACGTGTCGCGAGGAGTAATTGGAAACGCGCGCGAAAGAGCGTTCCGCATGTGCGATTGTCCAGTGCACGTGAAACTGGAACCAGACTAAACGAGCGCGAACAACGAATGAGCAATTTGCTGGAGTTGCTTGAGTAATTCTGTTTGCACTTGTTGAAGCGAGTTGTTCATTCGTATTCGTATTCGTTCGCGTTCGCTCGCTCAATATCAGGATCCCGGCTTGACACGCGCGCACGAGGGAGATCGCGTGCGTGCGCGCGCGTGTGCGCCGGCTCGCATTAATGCAGCGATATCGGGGCCGTGGGAATGAGCGAGTAGCGCGAACGAGCGTTCCGCTGGCACGAGCGGGTCACCGCGACGAGGAGGGAGGTGTGACGCGGCGCTGCGCCATTCACTCCGCGGGGGACAGTAAAGGACGACGACTATCGGCCGTACGCGGGAGGAAGTGGTGGCCGATTCCGCACGACACGTATTTTTTTTCCCTCGCTTTGAGAAATGTCAACCGAGAAAGTAGCGACGATTGTTCGCCAATGAATCGTTTGGTTCTGTCGTGCCGACATATATGCAACCGGTTTATTACTTTTGCTACCAGCAAACAGTGCTTTGTCCCCTCGCAGTATCTCTTATCATTCTTGCATTCTTTACACATATATGATAATGATAAAGTTACTTAATTTGCAAATCACCTCCTATCTTGTTGAATATTTTAATTAACATCGAAGGATTGCAAATAGAAATGCAGAAAATTAATCATTATTTTTGATGTTGATTGAGATGCTAATTATTATCTGCCCGTGTATATATCTTATTTTGTTTTGTAATTGGTTCTAATGATATTATAATGGATTCGAAAATGCTATGTTCTTGCGTACGACAAATATAATTTCCGCGGTTATGTGACTTTCAAAAAAAGTAAAGCTAACTACCTATTCCGGCTCTTTTTCTGGTTATTTTTTTCCGACACGCAAATTACCAACGAGAAAGTGGCGTGATAAAAGAAAATATTAAACAGGTCGTTTTCCCATGCGGAGATGAAAATACGATTCTTCATGTCGCATTTATTAATCGCTATCGCAACCGTTTCTCGTCCTACTATATATATATATATTCTAACATTTTATTTTTTAATCAAAATAATTTAACGAGACTGATTATTTGCTTGTATTTTAATTTTTACATCGCACGAAGTGTTCTTTGCGGATATACATATTTCGCAAAGCTTTTACAATTTTATTTTTTCCTGTAGATTGCTTTTTTGTTGGTAAAATAAACTTAACTTGCTTGTATAGGATTTTATAAATCTTAACTGTAATCATACATACGGACGGATTGACGTTTGAGATATCATCGTATAACACGAATTCTTCCGTAAATTCACGAATATCTCTCTGCCATTAGTGTCTCGAACGAGTGCAAGTCGAGGTGTTCCCACCGTGTGGACATTATTCGGCAAGACTGAATTCCTGCGCGAACATTTTAATCACTGTAATTACGAAAAAGGGTTATCGAACGGTTGCGACATACTCGTTCCGACCAATTTACACGGTCCGGATAGCCGTGAGACGACCGTAAATGAGGTGAGAGAACGTGGTAAGGCTGGAGGGAAAGGGGGAGCAAGTGTAACAAGATAATGAATTAATTTATTTAATCGACGCGATGTCGCGATGCCGATGAAAATAATTCACGTAATTGATACATTCCGGGCGGGCCTTCTTACAAAGTTATTTTACAATGTCGCCATGTCGTGCTTGACCTCCTTTAAGTAAAAGCGTATGCTAAAGAAAGCTTAAGCCCCTGCCAATGCGGGGCTGCAAGCTTGCATCTAATGCGGGGTTGTCCGAAGGGTTGCCTTCCCTACAGGCTGACACCTATGTACCCCAATATCAAGGGAAGACTGCAAATAATTTGTTTTCACATATAAGTTACTTTGTTCGCTGAATAATCGTTCAATCAATTTTCGTCAATATGTAAATTAAATAAATAAAGTAAACATTTATTTTACAAGTTTATTTTAATAATTTTGCGGTGTCTCTTTATTGATTTTTGAATTAAATTAAAAAAGATAACATAAGCTTTAAATTAAAAAAAAAGTAGTATTAATGTTAATATGTTATATTATGTTATATTACGTAATTAACGGATGTACTGCTTATATTAAAGGAATTTATTTTTTATAAAAGTATAAATTAGATAAGTACGTAAAATAATAAATATAAAGTAATAAGTATAATAAATATAAAATATAAATAAATGTATAATATAAAATAATAAATACATAAAAAATTGTGCATATATTATACTTTTCTTTTATTCGAATATTGATAATATAGTAACACGCTATTATTCATTTGAAATAACATAGATTATTCATTTTTATTAACAAAGTATCGTAGTGTCAGGTGATATCAGCATTTCACGATCGAGCGTTTCTATTCTAAGTAAACAAAATTGAATTAGCTCTATCGTATAGTGTGCAAATTATTCACCCCTCCGATTATTCTGTTATGCTCCGATGTACTGCAATGATTATCGTTAGTATCTTTTATTATCTTTTTAAGGGTCGAGGTTTTTTCCACCCTTGTGTCCACTGTAGAAAATCATGTGAACTCGCTCGCACCCTATCTACCCCCAGTGAACATGTGTCTGTCACATATGGACAACACGTGTGCATAATGTCGATCGTATTCGTGCAGAATTTTCGATCCAACGAACTATTGTCTGTTTTTTGTCTCTTCTATTTCCGAATTCATTATAAAAGAAGTTTAATATCGCGTATCTCTATTCTCTATACTCTATAACTTACATGTCATATATTAACTAAAAGCGTTGAGATATGATTTATAAAACAACAATGACTCTGTTTAATAGTGAATGGTTAAATCAAAATTTAGAAAAAATAAATTTGGAATTTTTTTGCAGGATTTTTTAAATTATCTTTTTAAATACGTAGCTCTCCGTGCACTTACCTTGAGGAAGTTTTCCCGCGTAAAATCTCCCTTAGCTTTTTGTGGACGAAATAATTTTGTCCGACGTTTCTTCGAACTTATGCCAAGTGTTTGGTCAAAACTTTTGCGTTAGCCGCCTTTGGAATTCTTAAATCATTTTCAGATCGCTGAATTTATTAAAGTTTTAAAAGAAATCTTTTTGAAAGAGAAATTGATTGAAAATAATTTTATAATTAATGAATGTAATATTCGAGTTTTTGTTGATATTTTGACGCGAGAATTTTTGAAGAAATCAGATGAATTTAAAGGGCTGTTTTCGTGTACGCTCTGTCGATAAATTCTTCTCTTTACAACTTTAAAGAAATGTATTTGAAAAGAATAAAAAAGATTTAAGATTTCTATACTATTATTAAAATTATTTGCTTAAGACTAAGGTGAAGGGGAAGATTAATTGACACAAGGTATATTTGCTTATGAGTAACATTTATTTCAAACAAACATATTGGAAGACAGATAGGAAAGTGTCAGCGATACTTGCTGACATTAAAGCCAATATCACAATGTCGAAATAACACTCTATAAATTTGTATACATACAATAGGTACAAATATCACAAACGCGACAAATGTGTCGCTGTAATATAAAAAGAAAAAAATATATATAATGCGTCTCTCTTTCTCTTTGATGTATTAATTTTACATCTACAAGGAATGCTCCTCTCAGTCAATTGTCATTGAGCTAAAATCTACATAGTATAATCTAACGATCACAGTTTCGAAATGTTTATTTGAGCTGTCACCCCACAATTCGATTGACAGCGTCAGTCCTCGACCTCGAGGACGCTTCCGCGGGAGGAAGTTCAGCGAATCTCGAGTAATCAGCTCGGGTGATTCGCCTTTGAGGTAGATGCTGCCGTTTTCGATTACGACACCTCACGCCACTTGCACCTCGGGAAGCTGATACTGCGAGAAGGCGCGTTCCTTGTAGCACAGGTCTCTGTCGGCCATGCTGAGAGTCGTCCAGTAGAAGTCGCCGGCATGAGTATGGGCGAAATGCACCGGCACGTAGCACTGACCAGGCACAACCGGCACGACGGTCATCTGTCCGTCCAGGCAGACGGTGATGGCGGCTCCCTCCTCGGCGTCCCGTAGCTCCTGCAGGAGTCTACGTTCCAGCGCCTCGTTGGCGTTGTTCTGGTTCTCGATCTCCTCGGTGAAGATCCCCACCTGAGGCACGGCCTCCTGGCGCTTGTTGCTCTTGGCGTAACTGCTGGTGCGCTTCTTCAGCATTCGCAGCAGTGGCTTCAGCGGCTTCAGAATGCTGCGTCTGCTCTTGCGGCTGCTCACGGCCTTGTCCTCCGACATCTTCAGGTTGTAGAGATTGTCGTTGAGCTCGTTCTCGAACACGTCGTTGAGCTCGAAGTCGAACAGCGTGTGCTCGCTCATGGTGGTGGCAGCGGCCATCTTTCTTCTTTCTCCTTCTTTTTTTCTCGCTATCTCTCTCTCTATCTCTCTCTCTGTGAGCGTTCTCCTTCGAACCACGGTACACTGAACCGGTTTCTTCCGAACTGTCGGAACTCGGAACACGTGGCACGAACTGTCGTTCGATAGGAACTTGGCGGGAGAGAACTTGAAAGCGAAGGATGTGCTTTCGGGCAAGTCGCTTTGGAGCGAGAGGCTAGTGAGCGAATGGTACCTTAGTACGAGCAACCCCGACCTTATATAGCTCCGCCGGGCCCAGGCAGCACGGGGTAACAGAGTGGGGAAGGCAGGTGCACTCTGGCTGTGGGAACTCGGAGAATTCGGAGCTTCCCACGTCGGGGTCCACGCCGACCATCTGCCGGTCTTCTCCCTTCTCCGCCCTCGCCGCCCGATCGCCCACCACCTATCTCGGGTCCTTGCAGCACCCTGCTCGCAGGGGCCCCTTCGTGATGCACATACACGTGCGCGCACACCCCCGTGATCACCCCCATTCGACCTTCTACATAGTGAATCCTCGCTTTCTCGTTCCGCGTGACTCCGATTTCTTAGGTTTTCTAGAGGGGTCTCTTTCTCTAGGATAGAGCCCAGATTTCCAGCATGAAGGGGGTGGTGTTGCTCCTTCGAGACTGGTTCGAACCTGTCGTAACACGTTCGTGCGCGTCACGCGAGCTTGCGTGAGGTGAGACGGATTTTGTCGTCGGCTTTACAGCTGAATACAGAATATACAACTTGTTGCGTCTTGCTGATAGCATAGGAATTGATGTGGTTCGAGGATAAGTTGACCGGTTGTACACGACATCAGCGATAATAGAGATAATTATATGAACGAAGAAAGCTCAATGTTTAATTACGGACTTAGTCGATTGTTAGATTCACGAAACGTTTATTGTATCAACTCATGTAAGATACAATCGATTGTGTATTCAATTTCGGCACGCAAAGTAGCGTGACTCGAGGTAGATTGCAATGCAGAAATTCAGAATTTTATATACGTGCATGATTCTTTATAGGAGGCGGGGGTGAAGAAAGGTAGGTTCTATAAAATTTTATACGTAAAAATTTAAATTAAAATTATTACAAAGTTTTTATTTGTTATATAAAAATTTAATTGGACAAGTGCAAATATTTTAATTACTTTTATTATCTCTAAATTTTTCTTAGTAAAGTTATAATCATAAAATATTATATAAAAATTTATTTATTATCCAAATTATATTAGAACCATTTTATTAAATATATATTTTAATTAAAGTATTTAGTAATTTTGCACATAAAAAATTTATTTGTTAGATCAGTGATTCCCTCAGTTCAAAAAGAGCAATTCCAGCTACGATCGTTGCTGAGAATTTTTAAGCCAAAGGGTTAGCGTATAGCTAGCTGGTAAGTTATAGTAATTAACGTGCGGTAATAACGTACCCCGGCTTCCTTCATTACCCCACTGTGCACGAGAGATTTAGAGCCGAGAAGCGTCTAGACGCCTCGTGATAGGTGCGGTAACCCCCGCTATTAAATACGCCTCCGACCGGATTTTTTGTTATCTCGGAACTCGGCCCCTTGTCTTCATGACACGATCACGTTGCGTCCATTAGCTGTACCGTCATAAAAAAGTCTGAAAGTTTTGTGGGGAGGTGAACTTTTTCTCCTTCACCTCTCGCACCCTACGAATTGCCGAGTTTTTTTACCGGGTGGGACTTTTTTTTACAACCTGTTTCATGATGCGGAGCATCAGGTGAATAGTTAATGGATACGTTAGCACCAAATAGATAAATCTATGACTATAAATGCCTATAGTTAATAAATATATATTAGAAGATTTTCTCAATTGTCTCCTTGTGTGTATAGAGAGAGGTGCAAATAATTAATACTTTACAGTGGGGAAGGGGGAAGGGGGAAGGGAAAAATTCAATTGTGCCGACTTAAACATAAAATCACTGGCGGTTTAGGGACGGTTTTGGTGATGCACCTGAACAGCAATGGAAATCTATCGAGGGTGAAAATCGAGTTGTGGAGGGTCTTGTCGAGTTGGGCAGGCACACCATAGCCATATGCCGTAGGCAAACTTTGCCCCCTCGAAGGACAGGTACATTGGGGTATTATTTGTTTTCACTTGCATTTCGAAAATATAGCTTGAGGCAGGTGAAACGAGCCTGAAACTGCCGACTGCGGTAAGCCTTTTATGATTTGCAAGGATTACTTTATTTGCTTTTATTTTAGAGTATCATTTTTCGATCTTGAAATTTTTTCAAACTATTTTTTTGAAGATTTTTTGACTAAAGAATTAAATTGATATATAGAGTCAAGTTCTGCATTAGATATTATGGTAAACATTTCTTCGTTATTATATTTATATAATGTGACGATCAATTTTCTATCAATTGATAGTGTTTTTTTGCAGATTTATTTAATATTAACATACAGTCTCTAATTTATATTTATTGGTATACCCTGAAATTAAATTAACTGAATATAAAAATATTCGTTTATATATGTATATATGTATATTATATCGGTTAGTTTTTATATATAATTTCCAATTTAGATGTGAGTTTTTCTTCTATTTAAAATGCTTTGAAAGTTTATTGAATATTCAATCATATTATCGATTTAATAGCCATTTCACCTTCGTTTTTAACTCGCGAACCTCGATTTTTGCCTCGTTCCACATTTAACCGAAAAATCATTGACCTTTCGAATGGCGAATTTAAAAGCGTCGTGGATCATTAAGCATATCGATCGACCAGTTTCACCCACGTGGTAGCCAAGTCAATGGAGTGTATCGCATGCTGAGTACTGCACACTAACATAAACTCGCAGAGGCGTTCGAGCTTCGCTTATTTCCGGTCACATAAAATTAACATATAAAACCAAGTAACATAAAACAATATATTCACAGATAATTGTCGTATTCGTCGATCTACTAAATCTAACGGGTTTAATCGCAACAACGACTCCAACTCGAACGTCTTTAGCTCGTAGGCAGCAGGCGGCTCTCTAATGAAAATTGAGGAAACGGATAATTCCGCGCGTTTCCTGTTAACCGCGGATTTAAACCGGTTTGCGAGCAGATCCGCGGACGTTCTGTTCTAACAGTCCCCAGGGATCGCTTGTCTCATTCCCCTCGCTCTCCTCACAGTCGTTTGGTAAGAAGCGCTCGTTCTCGTCTCGCAGGATCCTCACGCCGCGCCGAAGCGCGCCGGATCGGATAGATCTTACAACCGGTTCTTAATGCGACCGTCAAATTTTAATTAATTCGAGACCGTTCGCGCGGTGTCCTGATTTAAAGCCGCGCCCACGTGTTTTCGTGCGGGCGTGCACGTCGTCCCGGAGGCGTCTCACGTGGAATTAATAATTCATGATCGTTTTGCTCGTTCGCTATATGAGGCACCAGCGATTTGGAAACGTTTCGCTGGATTTTAACGGTCGCACCGTGTATTCTCGTCCCGGAGATTTACCCGCTTTATGGCGTCGATATTGACATATCGCCCAAACGAAACGAAAAGTCACAGGCGCGTGCGGCATGACAAATTTCGAAGATGCGTTTATGCTCCTTGAGCAAAACGTATCCCTATGATCCAATTAGCGACATAAGCTCTTTACCACAGTTCAGGCGTTAATGATATTTGACTTGACAATTTCGAAAGTTTTTTATTTGATATACTTATATCTAAGTACATCAGCGATAATTTTCATGTTGAAAAATATCAAGATTTTAAAAATTTATTCTATTGATCTTCTTGAACCATTTTACTGTGTAGGTATTGTAAAGCTTCTTAAAATTAATTTTGAGTCACCGTTTTCCAACTCTTTTTTAAGCAAGGAAAGCTTTTTGAATTAAAAGATGGCTATACATGCATACGTTTAAATTTAATAACATATGTATGAATCGAATCAGAATTTGTTTGCATTAAAATAGCTGAAGTTATGGAAAAATCTTACTTTTTGTCAAAAATTACGCAGCACCTGAAGCCATTATCACGCAAATTACACGCGCCGCTTTGAATCTCGCAGAAACGGCGCGTCATATTCCTATATTTATTCCGCGCCTCCGACGAGGGCATTAGATTATGCAAATCGCATGCGGGACGAGTGTCGCGGGTCCCATCAGATAAAACGTTATTCCAAAGGTGAAGCGTGCGATCCCCTTCACGTTCGGCCGTGGCAAACATTAGAGGTGAGCGATATGACACGATCTTGATTAAAACGCTACCCCTGGCAGTCTGCCACGCGATAATATCGCTTATCGCGTCATTAACCGACGAGAAAAAAGATCCGCGTACGCTTGAATAATCAGACTGAACGCGCGTCGCGGAATGCATCTAAATTCTAAAAGATGGCTCGAGGATGCACGCGTGCGTTTCTTTTGTTTATTTATTACAGCATCTATAGAACAGATAGGATCCTTTTTCGATTCCGTAACGCGCTATCGCACACACGTATACAGTAGAAATCGAACATTACAAAACTTGATATTATTTTAGGTAATAATCTGGAAACGGAGTATACTTGCGAGAATAAATGTAAAATAAATTACTTATTTTTATATTACTTATTTATATATATATATATATATATATATATATATATATATATATATATAT